AGCAAAGGGTTTGGTGAATTCTTGTTTTTGTAGTACATCTTTAAATACCTTTGCTCCATAACATAGCTGTAAGGCCCTTCAGTGCTATCGACTATAGACGTGCGGCTAACCAGCTTGTTTGGACCATTGGATCGCAAAGCTTGGCCAACCAAAAGTGTATCTGTTGGGTGGTCAAAACTCTGCCAAATAAATTTACCTTTCTTATCATACAAAACCAAGTTACCATTTGGTAGTAGGTCCAATCCTACCACACCTTTGTTGGCAGTGCTCGTTTGCCATGCCACAGTGCCATCAGCATCGGCTAGAACTAGGTTTCCAACCAGCCCAAAAGTTAATGTGGCGTTTTCACCAACAGGCCTGCCTCGATTGGCTTCCCAGACCCACCTCATTATGGACTGGGACCGGTGGCTGCCCATTCGTAGTGCTAAGGTAAATGCATTAGGAGTGGTGCTATAGAAGCATAATTGGAATGGAAATAAAGAAATGGGTCAGACACGATAGTCTGCAAGATACTCAACAGTGTATTCTCCGAAGTCACCTTCATTTATGTACTTGAAAGTCCTCGATGGTGGAACAGTGGCACCGGCTACATTCGAAGAACAAAAAATTAATAAGAGAACGAATAATAAAAGTAGAGAAAATATAGGCAGAGCAAGGCATTCAGTGGCAACGCTTTTGTTAGTTTGTGGATGACATTTTGGGCGACGATGAATTTTTATAGGGAAGTCTTGATTGAATTCTATGGGCCCAAAACTGATTGTGCGGTTCTTTTTCCATAGAGTATTATCAACTATATATCATCATTTCATGTGCATAATATGAATTAGCAAATAGTATTTGACTTTGACCCACCTCTCACTTTGATCTTGTCCTTGACTTTATTATTACGGTAGTAATAATTACTATAGTAATAATAGTTACCAACTATAGGAATCCTAAAGTAGCTCTGTGCTGGTTCCCAGCAAGATTTTGCTTTTCCAATCCACTTTCACATTGTTTTTTTCTCCAAATAGAAATAACATTTTTTTAGAGAATTGGTAGTGTGATATCCTTTTTCTAATTTCTACCAAGATTTCATTTTAATAATTTCCATTTCACTGAACATATGTGTAAATTTGAGGATATGGTTGCTTCAGTCTTTAGACTTTTCTATCTTCTAAAAGTTTTGGAAATAGCAAAGTAATTATACAGAAGTTAGAATAATACATGGAATCCCTCGTTTTATTACTCTTAACATAGAATTGGAATACCAGTTTTATAATGCTGCCCCATTGACTGAATCTTCCGGTAAAGCAACCATATTCTAAGTCCCAAACTATCCAAAAAAGGGAAAAAATTATCAAGAAGATCGCATTCTTTTTCATTTTCATGTTCAATATTATGCCTTGGCACACTTCTAGTTTTATCAGTCAATGCTTTTGTCAATGCTTCTAAGTCTCATTTTGCAGCTGGACTCCAATTGTTTGCAACATGTCACTACTCACTCGCTTATAAGTTGAAATGATTCCCCTTTTTTGCCCTTAAAGGCTATCAAATTAAAGCAATTCACATTGCATTTAATAAAACCAGGGATTATGATATATGTTCACCTATCAAGAAATTGCCAAAACGGAGTAGAAACCAAATCGTTTGAATCTTTAAGAGACACTTGACAATAATAGGTGAATCATAAATGTTAATGGTGACATAAGACCAGCTTTCATCCAAAGGAATCTCCCTTCACCTGTTATAATCAGTGGCCCGGACTGGTTGTCCTTATAATCTATCGCCCAAGTCAATGATATCTGAAAACTGGGCCAAGATGTCGGCCATCCTGATCAGTTTCAACTCTATCAAAGCTGGAAAGCTTCGAACCTCTCAATTCCAATTCATGATTTGGAGAATTCAAGTCTGATGTGGTAGTGTTGTAGATACGGAAATCATATTATTTAATGTGACAGGACAGTTTTAGTACAAATTTATTTATGAAAAATTCGGGTTGCATTAAAAATCCTGTTCCTTGCACTGGATCTGCAGATAGATTTGCACCTCATTGCCCGCATGTCCACCTCCGAACTTATTACCTCCCTCCCACCCCTTCTCCAATTGTTCAGAAGGCCCATTCCTTTACCATGTAGGCCCATTCCTTATTGCTTCAGCCTTCAATTCGTAGGCCCATTCCTTTTCCCTTTTTGGTTTCTGTCCTTTTTCTCATGGTGGAAACTATGGAAAAATTTGTTCAAAGGTGGGTTTTTTTCCCTTTCTTTTTCTAATAATAAAAATAATAACCAAGGCGAAAATGACACATTGGTACAATTTTAGGGTGTGTATTTACGAGGAGAATAATGCGAGGTACATGATAAGGAAGATAAGACAAGGTTGTATTTATAGGATATGGGCTCCCTCCCTCCCCTTCTTACAATAATATATTTATATAATGTGGGTCTCATATATTAAAAGGCTTTTGCAAAGGTTTTATCCGACCATTCCTTGTAAATTAGCCTCAAAACTAAACCACTGTAGTTGGCGCACAATCATCCACAGAAATTAGCGAGGATTGACGAAAGTGACAAGAGACGAATTAATATTTAAATTCAAAATTTTTTATAATTATTTATGATAGATCGTTTATAAATTTAAAAAATTTATAAATAAAAATTTAATAAAATTATAAATCTTAATTACATTGATGATTTATTTTGACTTTAAAAATGAAATAATCTCTTTTATTTTTTAAGTTTTTCGAATAAAAAAAAATTCTACAAAAATTGCTTTTGTTGGTCAAGAACTTAAGAAGGGAGTTCTTTTAGTGTATAAAATATATATGCAATTTGGTTAATGATTAAAACTAGCTGAATTTGAGGATGCCAACACTGTGACGCTGGAAAGTGTAAATAGAAGTTGAGGAAAATTTTGGGCTTTCTTCTTGATGAGTACATGCTGAAGTAGATAGGACGTATTAATTCTTTAATTATCCCAAACATATGAGAAAACAAATCTGACATAGCTAGATATGTCAAAAGCTCATTTAATTTATGGGTCCATCTGAAGCTCTTCGAAATATAAATATTTTTCTTTTGAAAAAACAAAAAAGAAGAGTTTGGATCGAAATCTCATGATGACTTGGAAATATAATATATATATATATATTTATACCATAGTTTGATCCCACCAGCGAGTAGTACATGGTCTGCCACGCATTAAGTTGGTTGATTATAGGGATATTTTTAACCTTGGGTTAACACTGAACACTTACCAAGGATTGGGTCTCATGAGATGGAGATATATGGAATTAATAATTTCACGTAATGGCACCTATTAAGAAATGTAAATACTTCGGCTATAGCATGTTTTTACTGTGAAACATATTTTAGAAGATAAAACAATGAAATATTTATATTAAAATAAATAATATTTTATAAATTAAATGTGAGTCTAATATCATTTATGAAAATTTATATTTAACTTATGAAGTATTATTTGTTTTAATCTAAAAATATCATGATTTTATCTTATAAAAAATATATTATAAATTTAAATTTAAAATTTTATATGTATTATTTTAATTTGAAATTGAAAACGTTACATTTATCTTCTATACTTCGATCATAACATCCTCTTTTTGTTACGTCTAACACCATTTTGGAATTAGGATCGTGACAAGAAATTGTTAATGGAGTAGGTAATGAATAAATTTTTACATTAAAATATAAAATTTAATTATCCAATTGACATTAAAATATTTGCTTTATGGGTGGAGTGGAAGCTAACTAAGATTCTAGGCCGAGAAGCCAAGCCAAAGCTACTTCCCACCTGACACTACTTATTACACAAAAATTCTCCTCTTATTACTTACTAAAAATATATTTATAAATTTATTTAAATTGATTCATATAATAATTTATAAAAAAATAACTCATTTTCTTTCAAAATATTTGTTATATATTAATTTTTATTAAATTTAAAACCTTTTTAATTTTAATATATTTAATATTAAATTTTAAATTTTTTATAAAATTAAAATTTTATAATTTTTAATGTCAAAAAATGTAAAAGTTTTATATATTTTAAAAAATAATATATAATTTTGAGACATTTTAAAATAAAATAAATGGGATTAAAGGAATATTTAATAATTTTAAAATTTATTATTTTATTTTTATTTACAGATTATAATTTTTTTATAAAAAAATATATTTAAAGGAATTTAATATAATCAGTCGTTCTCCATCTCTTGAAAATTTTATGAAACTTGTGATTCAACCAAATAACATTAAAAAAATATAAAGAGAAAATTCTTAGCAGTAGTGTAGCACTATCAATTTAAAAAAAAAAAAAAATGAAAACATGAGTTTCGTTCCTTAATTTCATAATGTTCACTAATAAACAGTAAACAATTAAAGGCTTCTTCTAAATAACAAAGTGATATAGTCAAATGTCGGAAAATTTATGTTCCCGTTGTTTTGTTACTTTTCCGAGGCACGTTTGAAGATGTGATTGGTTAATGGTTAATCCTAAAACCTTCCCGTTTTCCCATTGTGGAATTAGTTGTTTGATGGAGGTTTGGTTTGCATTTAAGGTCAATCAACGAACTTTTGAAATTTGGGTTCTCACGCCCTTAATTACTATCTTGATGAAATTTCATGGAACCGTAAAGTTAAAAGGTTAACTTTTTTTTTGATTAAATTTTTATTAAATAAAAATTAATTAATTATCAACATCAATTATTATTAATCTAGAATTTTATTGAGATAAAAATAAATATTTAAAAATTAAATTGAATAAAAATAAATATTTAAAAATTTAATTAATGAAAATAAAACATTCAAAGATTATAATAAAATATTATAAGTTTAAATGATTATTAATTATTATGGATGATTTTTTTTTTTACCCTTTTGCCAATAGTAAACGATACTTTCAATACGTTGTTTGACTCCACCCCGGTCGTTTTAGCAAGAAAAGAAAATCTGGTCATTTCCCCAAGTCATTCCGTTCAAAAGTGCAAGGTCAATTCCGTCTTTTCAGCAAACAAAAAATGGGACTTCCAGACTGTAACAAAACGATTATTTCGGGGGAATGGCTTGCTGTGTTGGCAATGTCCTCATCTTCTTCCCTTTCTCTCTCTTTCAGCAGTTAAGCTGCTCCAATCTCTCCACCTACTCTTTTTACCCCTTTCTGGGAATATCAAAATAACCGGTTTTATTATTAATTTTATAATTTTATTCACTCTTTTTATTTAATTCATTCAAAGCAGTAAAGCTGCTGTTTTGTACATAAATCCTTTTTTTTTCTCATGAATTTTTAAAAGAAAAATCGAAAATGCCTCTGGTTAGAGCTCAGGTGAGGAATGAGTACGGGCTTGGTCAGCCGGAGCTTTACAAGGACGTTAATAGAGAAGATCCTAACGCTATTCTCGATGGCGTCTCCGTCGCCGGTCTCGTGGGGATCTTGCGCCAATTAGGCGATCTTGCTGAGTACGTTTACTCCTTTATCCGCTTTATTGGCTTTATAATTTGAAAATATTTCTCTCTTCGGTTGCATGCTAAGGAAGTTAAAACTTAAAAGAACCAGTAGAAATTGAAAGCCAAAGAGTTTGATTTATGTACCGTTAAGCTTTGTAAGTATAAGATATTACTTCTTCAATTGCTTTTCTTTTAGTTATTGTTTGCTTTTATTGTTTTAAAATTTTTTTATTATTTATTTAAACTTCGCTGGTGGAGTTTGGTTGTTATGCTGTAGATTTGCTGCTGAGGTTTTTCATGGATTACAAGAGCAAGTAATGAGCACAGCGTCTAGAAGTCATAAATTGATGATTCGTGTGCAACGGATTGAAGCTGCGCTTCCGCCTCTTGAGAAGGCTGTTCTTGCCCAAACAAGTCATATACACTTTGCTTACTCAGCTGGTATGTCCTCTGTGCTTTTCCTTTGCTCTAAAAGCCACTGATTTTCTTGGTAGATAATGCTTCTTTCACATTGTTTTCCCCATTACAGAGATATATGCATTCGGTACATACTATTTTATCTTGTTTGTTTTAGTAATGTTGTATTCTTTTTTGCTTTGTTCTTTTGACATTTGTTGCCTGTATTTGGGTTGAGTACCAGCAAGACATGGACCATAATTTCACTTGTATATATGAAAAAAGCATCTTATTTTGTTGAAGTTCAAATGGTCAATAAGAACTTAATTTCAAGAAGAACCTCATTTGTAGTCCATCAGGTGGCATCAATTGTCAGTTGCTGCTGGCACTTGAAGCAATTTTCATGTAAGGAGACCATTATGTTGAAAGAAGATCTACAGCATTGGAAACATGTTTGACGCAAAAAAAACATGCTTTATTCATTTAAATCCTTGAAAGGTTTACATTGATTTGAGACTAAATGGACCTATTTCAAAATGTTCACTTCATCAGTTTTATCCTTTTTTTTTTTCCTTTGCATATAGTATTTATGTTATTTTCTTGCAGGAGATTGCATAATAATACAACTTTATGGTTAAGAGTCAAGATGCAAGGAAAATGATCTTGATTCGTATTTAGAAAAAAACTGGTTTTAAATTTTGATTTTTTTTATTAGCTATTTGAAATTTTTTATCTTTCTATTCAAATCTTTATGGAAAGCAGTTGCCCTACAGGTTCTGAATGGCACCCTCGAATTCACAATGAGAAAAATCATTTCATCTACAACGATTTACCTCGATTTGTTATGGATTCTTATGAAGTTTGTCGTGAACCTCCACGTCTGCACTTGCTTGACAAGTATGGTTACTTACATCCACTCCCCCTTTTGGCAATGACAAGAATGTTCAAGAAATGAGCTTGTGATGTGTGTGTGTGTGTGTGTATCTGTTTTGGATTCTTACTTCTGCTTTGCAACCAGATTTGATGCTGTTGGCCCAGGATCTTGTTTGAGGAGATATTCAGATCCAACTTATTTCAAAAGAGCATCAGGTAGCTCCATTGTAGAAGATGCTGAGAAAGTCCCAAGAGATAAGAAGACTCGTAAAAGCAAGGTATTAATTACTCTATCAATCATCTAGGCATAGAATCTTGACAATTTTGAGAAGCATTTATTACCTTTTGAATCAATTTTCACAACAGGTTTCATTATTGTCTCTCAATTCATGTAAATTAATTAACTAGTCTACTCTTTAGTCAAATGAGGCTTGTCATCCATAATTACTAGGAATGTATTTGCCTCTAGGACTCCTATGGCATGGAGGTAAAATTTATGTAAATACAACTTTTCAGACTCATGTTGCAACTGAATAACCTACATGTTCTTCAATTTGGAATTATTTCTGAATTAAAATTGTCAAAAATGAACAGAATAGAAGATCATCTCACAGGCATGGCAAACTATCACGTGGTGCATCATTATCAAATCGCAGTGGCAGGTAATACATGTATATGTATACAAATGCATGTGTGCACTCAATTCATACAGACAAGCATAACAACACAAAAACAAAAAAAAAAACATATATGCATTTGCATGTGACTTATTGTGTTGAATATGGTTGATTTAATTGAAATTTACACGAAATCTGACCATGCAGTATGCAGTTTACTTCTCCAATTGTTAATGGGCAAACTTCTTCCTCTCAAACTGCATCTACAGTTGACATCGCACTGAAATCTGATGCGGGAGAGCATTCAAATTCTTTTGATTCAAGAACTGGGTCGGGATATATTGAATGTGTTTTCAATCGAGGTTCATCCATGCTACCTGAGGAACAGGAACCCAAGGAAGTGTCTTCTAGGTTGATGCAAGAAACTAATACCCTTGGTTCAAATTTTCCTGTTGAACAAAGCCGGGTTATAGATGATAGCTTTTCACATAGTTCATCTCAAGATCAGATTGCCCCAAGTTCATTTTGTGTAACATGGGATGAAAAGGCTGAAATAGTGGAGTCCAAAGCAGCAAATTGGGATGGAGATAAAGTTCTAGAGATGAACTTTGATGCAGATGTGCAGGAAACACCAGCTGCCAACCTTGGAAATCTAGTCCAAACGGATATCCTGTTTAATGACATAGATGTTCCCCAATCAAGCTCTATTGAGAATCGAAATGATGAAATTGAAAGTGAACCAGATAATTACATGGATGCACTGAACACAATAGAATCAGAATTTGAAAATGACATTGAGTGCCATACAAAACGAGAAGTGGAGCAGTGTTCCAAAAATGATGTTGAGTGCCAAACAAAATGGGAAGTGGAGCAGAGTGATGATGCTAAAAATGTTAACGATGAGAGTAGAGAAGATGGAACGCGTGCGATTATGGATGGCAATGCAGATCGTCATCCATCTATCATTGAATCCTCTGCCTCATCCAATATTATTTCAAACAATGGGATGTCCTCGAGTTTACCTGATCCAGTCCCCTCTGAGAATTTTGCCAGTGAACGGATGCCTCAAATCTCAGGGAAATCTCCTCATCCTGACCATTCACCTGTCACTAATTTATGTGTGAGTGATGAAATTTGTAGTGGTTCACTAGTGGAATCTGTTATCAGTGATCCATCATCATCCACTGGCTCTACATTTTCCAATACGCATGATCCAGCAAGTGATAGGATCATAAACAGTATCAGGGACTCTCAAAACTCCCAGACTGAATTTTCTGGTGTGCATTCAGTTGGTTTGTGGACAAATGGTGGTCTTTTGGGGCTTCAGCCATCAATACCTCCTGATTTTGGTATATCAACTACAGCTCATTGTTCTGCAGCCAAAAATAGTGAAGCATTTGATCCTCCAAATCAAACTCTTATGCCCTTCCACAAAGGACCTAGAGGAAATTCAGGTACAGTGATTGAGAATGCAGAAAGTACTGAGAAGGTTCCACGTTCATGTAGTGATAAAACTTCCCTTCTTGATAATTTTAATGGCATTGACTTCTGCCTAAACACTTCATTGCCACACGAAAACAAGCACCAGGTCAATCCTATTGTCAAACCTACATCTATTGAAACTGATGAAGAGAATGATAACAACTCATCTAGGATGTTTGGACTTGGCCACAAGTTGCTTGTAAATGGCTTTCGCAAAAAGGTGTCGATTGACCATGATGGTGAATCTGAACCAGCTACTTCTACAAAAACTGGGGTATTGGAGTGGAGGAATGGGCAGCAGGGCATATCATACCAGAAAATTCCTTGGCCAATCTTCAATGAGCAGATTGAAGATGGATCTCCTGTAAATTCACTTACTTCTTCTCCACCACTTGAACATATGAAAATATCTTTCAACCCTATAGATGGATTTGAGACTTCTAAACTCAGGTTGCAATTTCCTGATGGGAATCGTTATCAGGAAAGTGCTAGGGACATGTTTCCTTCATTTCAGTTGGTCCCAGTGCCTGCTTTTCCAGTGCATGGTGTTGCTTCAGACACTGATGATGATACTTTCTGTAGATCATCCCCTTATATGTCTGATGCTTGCCTTAGTTATTGCTCTGAGTCAAATTCTGAGCAGTGGGAATCTGGTGAAACCCCTGAAAGCAAGGACCATGAGTTATATGACGCATTAAGTAGATTGTCATCAATGGAATCTGTTTCAAGCTCCTTGCAAGTTGGGGAAGCAGCCAATAATGGCATCCATGTTAATGGTGGAAATAAAACAATAATTCCTGGAACTGGTGCAGAACCATCTCTATGTGTGACGCTTGATCTCCCAAGTTTTGATGCCATTAACCCTGTACTACTTGATGAAACAAAAAGCAATTCTGGTAAAAAAAACCAGCTAGAATTGCAAAATTCTACGGAGCTCACACCATTACCACCACCACCTCCTCCTGCTCAATGGCGGGTTTCAAAACCCTGCATGGATGAGGCAGAAGAAAGACAACATTCTTTATCAGAGTCACTCAGATGTGAGCTTGATCTGAAACTTTTAGGATCTACTGTGTCTCAGAAGCCTAAGTCACCCTCAGTTAATCAACAAAAAGTAAATAATGAGGCAATTGCAGTAAAACCTGAGAAGAAGGTACTTTAGCTGTGTTGTCATTCTGTTTTCTTGTTTTTCAAAAATTTCACATTGAAAAATGTTGTGAAGTGGAAACTGCATGTATATTAATCGTCAAAAATTTGATGCATGCTGCAGGTAGACCAAGTGAGGTTGATTAGGCAGAAAGAGGCAAACCCGCTCAGCAGTGACAGGGGGATGGATGAAAAGGAAGATTTCTTACATCAGATCAGAACTAAAGTGAGTAGTCATTTTTTTCTTGATATGTTGCTCTCCATCACCATTTATCATCTCATTGTTTATTTGTTAATATTTTCAAATTTAAAAACAGTGATTTCATCTGCCATAAAGATTGTTTTTGAGATATAAGAGTTTCCCACCTCTCTTCCTCTTTCTCCCACAAAAAGTAGAACAGAAAAGGAAGTGACTTTGGTATAGGAACAAGCTGGAGTTGACTGGTGTAGTTTGAACATGTTTTATGTACCTCTTTGATTGTGATTATGTTGGTATTGCTATGATATCTTCATGTGGTAGAAAATTGAATTAGGAGTAGTCTTATGTATCCTGTAGAATAGACTGGATGTCTGATAAAATAATGGAGTATAATTCATTCACTTGCTTTTTATTCTTCGTCATTTCAGTCTTTCAACCTAAGACCCACGGTCACTGCAAAACCAAATGTTACTTCTGGCCCCACTACCAATGTCAAAGTCACCGCAATTTTGCAGAAAGCAAATGCAATCCGCCAGGTTTCCAATTCTTTCTCCTTTTTTGCTCTCTTATCTTGTTCTCATTTCTTCTATTATGAATCACACCATCAGATTAACAATAAGGAGACTTGTTCAGGCTGTTGGGAGCGATGATGGTGAAGATGATGATAACTGGAGTGACACATAATTATTTTGGAATACGGGTGCAGAGGATAGTTGGAACTAAATTCTCGCACTCTTGAGTTTCCGCATTTGGTAAGGCTGTTTAACATGTGTATAATACTAGTTTCTCCTTGTAAGTAGTTAGCAGGGCTCATCTTGTATGCGATTATTTGCATTAATTTCTTGAATAGCTGAGTCCTGATATAAGTTTCAACATTGAGGCAATGATTCGTGCATAATGCATGAGAATATATGGTAATCTTTTGAGTTCTGTTTTTCATTTTTTAATTTATTTTAAACGGGACATTGATTAGGAATAGGTTAACATTAACGTGACCTAACCCGAAAACAGGCAAAACTTGGGTTTCAGAAATTAACAAATGCAACTTGCTATATAGATTAGTTCTTTAGTTTCTGTCAACGTCTGAGAAAGCATCTCAATTTGGGCGTTGAATTGAAGGGTGGAGTCTTCGGCCGTCTTTAGAACAAGGATCTTGTCAGTTTCTGCAGAAAAAAAAAATATATTTCAATGCCTGTCTGTGTTGCTTAAAAGTGTCATCTTAAGGCAATTTTCAACGGTAGCGAAAACAGAGCAGTGCCGCGTAATTGGTTGGACGAGTAGCCTGCCACTAGCTTGAATTTGAATCACTGCTTTGTTTCCGTGTTTTTTGCATTGAAATTTTCAATTTAGTTGTGGGATTCAAGTCATCGTATTTTATCCAAAATCTTTGTTTTTTTTTAATCTCACAAGAAAGCCTTAAAACTAAACAATAAAGTTATTAGAATATTGGGTCTTCCTGTATTTGTTTAATTTGTCATATGGTATATGTTTTTGACTATGCCATTTTTTTTTTCAAGGCATAGAACCCATCACCAAATAAATCAATAAAGAAAAGATCGAAGAAGAGTTGAAAAAAATTGATGCCAGGTTTAGCTGGAACAGGTATCAAAATTCCAACCCACCGGTTCTCTAGTGAATTAATTATTTTGCAAGTTGGATGCAGCAGCAACTTCGTAGCCAATTAATGGAGTCAAAAAAGGATCAAGGTAAATGGTAAAAAAAAAAAATACTAAATGTAGAATTCAAAGATAAAGATGACAGTCACATCACACCCACTATGAAAAGGATTTTTCCCACTAAGAAAAAAATGGTCATAAGATTATATGCGCCATCTTAGAGTAAATTCAAGGATCGGAATAAAAATGAAAGGAATTAACTGAGCTTTGGAAGAAAGATTAGAGAGGGAGTATACTTTTTGGCTTTTGATTGTTACCTTTATAATGGTAAAAAAAAAAAAGATTTTCATAAACTTTTCAAGCAAGTTGCAAGAAAACACATGCATGAATCTTTTGCTTTTAGTCTATCTCTTATTATTTTTTATAAAAGAGATTGACAATTGTAAATACTAAAATTTTAAATTTATCTAATGTTATTTTTAAAAAATAATTATATAAATTAATTGATCTAAGTTTCCGATCTTTTATCTCCTCTTCGTGGTGCTTAAAAGTTAGCTGCTAGAAAAGATTTGGAGCTCTTTTTGCTACGAGGCTAAACCCATTTTTGCTTGAGCCTTCGCCATCCGGGGAAAGACGAGAGATGGGTAACACCTGGCTTTGGCTTGGCAACCAAGTGTTAAAAAATGTACTATAATTTTCTCGCAGCAAAAGATTGAAGATCAGGCCCTAAGTTTATTATCTTAATGAACAACTTTGTTTTTATTATATTAAGTCTACATATAGCTCCCAAAGTACCCATCACTGATTGGTAAAGGATAAAAAAAAAAAGTTTAAAGTAATTAAATAAAGAAATGAAGAAGAGTGGAGAGACTTCGTTAATTAATTCATTTTATTAGAGCAACTTGATGTAATCAACAACCGCAACAAGATGCAATATAATATATATGCTGCAAAACTATCTTATGAAACTTGATTAGGGCACTCTCTTTGGGATAACCAAGCCAAGCATTTTTTTTTTCTTTTTAAAGAATAAATTTGATGAAATAAGGAGTTTACATGTACAACACATAAATTTAACTTGGTGAAAGAAAAACTTATGAAATCGGGAAAATTAGGACCATAAGCCGTCGAACAATATTTTGTATTATAATATATATATAATTTATATTTGATATATTATCAATATATAAAATTTAAATATTACCAATAAATTATATAATGTCACATCCTAATGAAAAAATATAACTCTTGTGTATTTATTTTAAAGGATTTATAAAATTTATGTATATTATTTTTAAAGAATTATACAATTTTATTTTTTTCGTTAATGATATAACATCATATAATTCATTAATATTATCTAAAATTTATATATTGACAATACATCAAATATATTAATCTATATATTTTTTTATATATTTATTTTGATTTTATTTATCTCATTTGTAAAATCTAAAAATTCTATGGATGATGAATAAATAATTTCTCTATTCATTCTCTCTTGAAGTTTAAGTGATTTTGTTTATTTATTATATTGCGAGAAAAAAAAAAAAGAAATCCTAAAATTTTCCTTGCCATCATAAGAAAGGAAAGAATGCAATCACTAGGAAATGATAAATCTTTGCATCAGATAGAAAAACAGAAGAAGCCATAAATTGATCCTTGTAATTTCCTTTGGGTTGTTGTTTTAAGAAATTTCCTCATTTTAAAAAAAAAAGAAAAGAAAACAACAGTGAAAAAGCAATGAGCTCATGACTTAAATCAGTGGGCAACTACATGGAAAAGGTTAAAAAAAGGGTGCTCCAATAAAGATAATCTTTTTTCTTTAATCTTTATGAAATCTTTAACTTTTTTTATTTGGAAAGAAAGTCCAAAGCATCGAAAAGAAAAAGTGCATACTTTTTCCAACTAAAGTAATTAAAATGCTTCTTTGTCCACATTATATAATTGGAAAAGGCAAGGGAAATGATCTAGCTTTTGCATTAATCTAATGAGATTCCTTTATTAAAGAAAAAGATTAAAGAATTTAATAATAAATTTATTAAAAATTATTTTTTTCACAAATTTTTAATAAATTTAAATTCAAATAGTAAAACAAATTTATTATTATTGTAACACTTTAAACATATATCAAAAGATTTTAAGAATTTGATATATTATATAAACTAAAATTTCAATTTAAAATTTTAAAATATTTTTTATAAAATAAAATTATAAATTTTTTAAATCAAAATAAATAATATTTTATAAATTAAATACGAATTTCTATACCCACTTGAATTAATATCATCCATAAACTAATTAAGTTATTTTGCATGAAAAAATCTGCAATTGATGAAAAGAAATTGCAGCAAAGTTATCATTAAAATCCATTGAAACCTGAAAAAAATATTGCATGAAAGAAAAAAAAAAAAAAGAATTGCCATTGAACAATTAAAAAACGATATCCAACTTTAAGAATTAAAATGAAAATTTTTTATGATATGAAATTCTGACCCATTCTTTTGTCTTTTGATATAGTTATCTTTTTAACGTCTAGTGATGATGCAATGCCGGCAAGTTTGCTTACTGGTGGAATCTGATTTGACATCAGACTAATTAATTTGAAGCATCTAAAATAACTTTCGTTTTTCATTTTTTTTTATAATCATAATCTTTGAAGATTTTTGGAAGTGGAAAATTTTATTTACCATTGATTTGGAAACGAATTTTAAAGGAATTGCAGTTAACCCTATAGGAGCTGTGAAAAAAATAAAATTCTTGAAGAGAATCAAGTTCTTATTCTTTATTTAAAAAAAACCACTATATTTTTTCTTTCTTTATGAAATTGATCCAATTATTTCCATTTCATACACGAATTTCATGCAATTAGTAGTGGATTTTTGTATATAAAAATTTTAAAATAACAAATTTTAAATTAAAGAGATTACTAAAGAGATCAATGGAAAGTAAACAATCAAAAGAATTCTAGATTTTTCAAACAAAAGTAGGAAGGATTTGGCCTTATCTTTATCTTTCTTTTTTTATTTTAAATTGTAAAATATAATAGTAGAAAATAAAATCCCATTAGAACCAAAACTTTACCACTTTATTTATGCTCCAATTCTCCGTCACTTTGACACTTTGTATGCAAACCTACCTGGATTGGGACCCACTTTTTGGATTTTTTATATCTTGAATATTGATGACGTGGAGTAATGATGTGGACAAAAAGCTCATCGTCAACTTTTCCACGGCACCTACCTTGTTCTTGGCGTTGGCCGCTACTGCCTTCACTTGCTTCTTTTTCCTTTCAATTCCTAGCGCTTTTCCTTTTGCTTTCCCTTTCCCCCACTCTCCTCCCCATATATATATGCGCTCTCAAACACCTTTCGCCCTTAAACCAAAGAAACTCTTATCTCTTTAGTCGTCCCCTGTCTCTGTCTTTGTCTTTCTCTTAATGGTCATGGCTAGCCAAGAAGCAGGACAAGGGATCAAGCTATTTGGGACAACGATTACGTTTCATGGAAGACAAGTAAAAGAAGAACACAACAAAGCTGATCATCCAACTGTGGATAAGAGGCCAGACAAGATCATACCATGCCCTAGATGCAAGAGCGTGGAGACCAAATTCTGTTACTTCAATAACTACAACGTCAACCAGCCTAGACATTTCTGTAAAGGTTGCCAGAGGTACTGGACGGCAGGTGGGGCCCTTCGAAATGTTCCTGTTGGGGCTGGTCGCCGGAAAGCCAAGCCACCGGATCGTGGTCTCGGTGGGTTCCCGGAAGGGTGCTTGTATGATGGGTCTAGTGGGTTGCACCAGTTTGAGTTGGAGGAAATGGTTCTGGATGAGTGGCACGTGGCGGCAGCGAATGGTGGTTTCCGGCAAGTTTTCCCGATGAAGCGGAGGCGGATAAGCTGCTCAGGTGGTCAACCTTATTGATCTTCAATAGTAGTATTTTTTATTTTCTCATTTTTTTTTCCTTTGCTTGCAAAAGTCTCAACAAAGATTAATTAAAAAATTGTACGGTTTATAGAATAATAATGTAAATGCAGGCTGGTTTTTGATTAATTAATTAGTCTTCTAATGTTACTCTCAATTATTTTGTGGGTACTAAAAAATTGGGTGCAGAAGAAATGGAGAATCAATGATTAATCAAATGATCGTGCTTTGAAATTTAATTATGAGAAATGTGCTATTCGCTTGATTATTGGGGTTCATGTGGTGTGTCAGTAGGCCAAAGTCAACATACCGATCGATAAGGAGCCCATGATCCAGTTTAATTAATCAAAATTCAAGATCACCGGTGAGTTGATCAAGGGATATGGATGCAGAATCATTATCTTTGATTATATATGTGCTATATTGGACGGATAAGATAGGGCAGAGAATAGCAAATATTCTTCGGACAAAGGGTTCACGTAAGCTAACGTAAATGGAACGAAAACTGAGACTACGGAGAAAAGCCTGGAAGAATTCCAATCTGATCAAATTATGGGAGATTTTGATGTATCCAGAAAGCAAAGAAGGAGATCAATGGCTTTTGATCTTCAATCCAGGAAATTTATACACTGCTACTTTCTAGGAAACAAGGGTTGTAAAAATGATAGTTATATAGTAAATTCAACATTTTGATCAGTAGAAAGTATAGTTTTCGTCTTCCTTTTCTTTTTGTTTGAGTGCTAGTTACAGTTTTCAAAGTGTTAAAGAGTCTAATTGGAGATAAATCCCATATTGATCACAAATTAAATTTGATATATATAATTTTTTTTTTCATTTAAGATGGAAAGAAGGATTGATCATGCCTTGAAGAATCATTGCTTGATTCTTGATATTATTCAGTGATAAATGGTGCTGTTCTCCAATGAACAACCTGGCTTGAGTCATGTCAACTGTTAGTCGATGTCATAGTTAGGGATAGAGCTCATCTTCCTTTCCATTTTTCCACGAAAGAAGAAGATCATGAACCTCTAGTCCAGAAACGACACCGGCAGCCGAAAAACTATCACTATCTTAACTGTCCTGATAGGCGACTTCTCTCATTTTGATTCCTCTTTTGTACCTATATAAATTGGTAATTACGAAAAAGATTGAACCCGAAAGGAAGCCTAGTTGCTTTCAAATTCACCTTTGCTTATCTGGTTTGGATTGCTAGATTATGTTGGGAAGCTAAATATAACTATTTAACTATGTTGGAGTTTGGAGCTGATTCTTTGTTTTCTGTCTTCCCTTTTGCCTATGGAAGCAAAAACAGAAAAAAGATGCCTTCAGGCATAGAATTAGGCATCTTATCAACCACCATGAGGTGAGTTCCTACTGATTAGTCGAAACTGGTTCCGATGTCTTTTAAGTTTAAACAAGTGCATCCAATAAGTATATAACTTCAGAAAGAACAAGAATAATATTCCACAGCAATGCTTGCTTGCTGCACAGTCCTTTACTGTTCTTTTAATCTGTTTTGTCAAATAAAGTTCATTCGAAAAGGACAGTTCGTTGCAAGATTCCTGCCAAGTGCATGGATGAAATCCTACATGCTTTTAATGGTTATCAAGCATCTTTAATTAAATACAATGAATAAACAATAAGAAGTGTGAAATTGTAGATCCAAATGACCAATGATGCCATAAATAGAGGCTGAGATTTCAATTGAGTATAGGGGGCAAACCTATCAGAAAGAAATTGAATTTTGGAATTGTTACAATGTACTGTTTCCCTATATCAACATCCTCGCAAGATTTTCATGTTTCAGATTAAGCAGGGGAAGAAAAAATAAAATGAACCAATAACGAAGAAGTATATACAATTCATGTTAATGTGTCATCAGAAAGTAATCAGTGTGTCAAAGAATCACAATTAGAATGGTTTCACATCTCACTAACTAATGACTTACAGTCAAATAGTACTGTAAACCGATATCTAAACTAATGAAAGTTAGCCCATTAGCTGTCAGGGTATGGAATTTTCTAAACAATGGTACTTTAGAAACATTGCTAAATTGTTTCATTAAAGTCCATATCCAAAGTTTCAAGACTTGAGAAAGAAAAGAACTTTTAAAAAGTTTCTTTTGTTGTGGTACACAAGAATTTGGTGTCGGTTTTCCTTTTGTTATGGTAAACATTGAAGGATTTGTAGCAAAGTTGATGCTTTTAGAGTCTAGAAATGTAAATGTGCTGAAGTTAATCAAATTTATATATAATATTAGGCACAATCATGTCTACTAGTAAGTAATAATCTTCGAGAGAAAAAAAAAATCTTGATGATCTTATTCTCTTTTATAATAGCTCATCTTTCTTTGCCGGTTGGATAATCAATTAGAACATTGCACAAGAGATTGCTTATCAAATGTAATCAAAGGTTTAGAGCAATTATCAACTTAAATCCATCACAAATCATCCATAGTCCAGTCATGAAAATCAGTAGTATTTGAACATCTCAGACAGTTTAAAAGCAAGAAGCAAGATCCATGTTAGAATCCCATATGAATAAACAATAAGCATATTACGTGCAAGACAGACTTTTTGGAAACTATTCTTGCAAAACTCACCAGCTAGGATATAGGAGTACTAGTTTCATTTCATAATAGCTATGGAGCTTTCCTTAGGCTAGACGATATTGCCAAAAAAAAAAGATGGGGAAAAGAAAAACTGGGTTTATTCAATAGGCGGATGAACTTTCACTTTTGTTTTGCCATTAAACGAATGTCCTTTATACGAGGCCAGTAGAGGTGATTCCGAGTTCTCTGAGGACTTCAGTGCACTCAGGCAGAGGTTGCTTTACCATGAATCCAAGAGGGTTGGCCATGCGATGATCGGAGCAGATGCCAGTGTCTTTGGTTAGGACAATCCGAGCACTCTTCCTAAGATAATTTTGAACGTCGATCTCAGCACATTCAGGATCGCTTGATCTTACGAGTGCAACCTCGCAGATCTCCTCCTCATGGTCTCCCTCCACCTTAAGATGATAGGTCCCCGACGCATCAGTCTCACCATCTACGGCGTAGGTCAGCCTACCGTCTGCACGGTCTTTGCACTCCAATCGCACCTGTGCACCTGTTTACACCAATGCGTTACCTTGTGTCATAAGAAACCTCACAATTTATGAGACATTTAATTTTATCAAACATTGTTGAAGCTTTAAGAGAAAAAAAAAAAAAAAACAATGACAATAACAACAAATTGTGGGTTTGCCTGCAATGTACTTGCTGATCCGGGTTACAAACTGAGCACGGCAGTTGTCACAGTAAACCTTTCCTTCCACGAAGAAATGCTCGGGAGCTTCGGCATGAACAATACTGAGGAGGGGTAAGAAGCAAAGGGCCGAGGCAAGGAAGAAGATAGCCTTGGGAGTTGTTGCCATTTTCTCTGTTTTGATTTGGAATGGAAATTCGATGTCAAAATACAACTATATGGAAGCAAGAGAGGTTGTTCTTTTATAAGGGGGGGTTTTGCTATGCATCTCGGTGACATTGCCATTTCTCCCGTGTTTGTAGAACAATTTATTTGACCCGTTCATCTCTCAATTTTCTCTGAGAATTCTCTAATTTACTGATTAAATTCCCATAATGTTAGGTGAATTAGTCTGAGATCCTCCTCAGTCCTCAACTTCTCCCATTTTTTTTATCTCAACCAAGAAATTACATGTGGATATCCCAGTATCCCATGTCCATGAACATCATGTAAGGCAAATCTCAAAACTTTTCCAGTCAAAGATCCAAATGGATTTGGATTTTCAATTAACAAAGTTTCTAATAAAGCAAAAGAATAAAAAAATCATCCCTGAGAATATATCTGACTTGATCAATAGGAAGGATGTACAAGAGAGGCTGTAGAAAATGTAAAATGTAATTCACACTGCACAGTCCAAAAATCAAACAATCATTACTAATACATCCAAACGCTCATATGAAAATGAAAATAGTTGAATCTCTCTTGCAAACAGGGTAAAATACTTCCTTTCATGATACAGGTCCCAAGTTACTGTAACAACAACAAAAACATAGACAAATAAAAATAGATAAAAATCAAACAATTATAAGCTACAAAATTTTGTTCATTCTTTGTTTTTAATCCTTTTTAATTAATGATGAAAGTGTTAACTTTCTTTAAAGTTGAACCATCAGGTCAAACTGATTGAACCAGAAATTCTCATATTACCGGTTTGCTTGCCAGTCTGGTTACAAAAACATTGGATGGAACTATTTCTTAATAAGATAATAACTTCATTCTTCTCCTTCCCCAACTTTAGCAGCATCAAGCTTTGCAGCTTCTTCTGTAATGAAACAAATAAATGACATTGTTAAACACTAATTCCAAGAAACAAGAAAATTATGTATTAATCCAAGAAAACCAGATGAAAGACATATCAATAACAACAGCTCACCCACTGACTACTCTCGAAAGCTGATATTAACTATAGTTTGTGGCATTCCATGAATTACTAGAAAAATTAACAAGCCATAAATCCTTAATAACTTATATGACTACTTTGAGCTTAACGGATCTTATCTGTCTTTTTTCCAACATCAATTGCACTTGTATAGCTGAACCAAGCCAAAATCTAGTTCCTATTTGATTGTCACACAATATTTTTCCACCCTTGAATTGCTTGATGGTATGCCATCATTCCGAAAACTCTCCATCACTAACAATTTGAAAATATTTATGGTAAAACTAGCAAAAGAAAAAAGGGCACAAATCTCACAACCAGGCCTTTAAATTTGACGCAACTAATAGTAGATAACATTTTAAAGAACCATATCTAGCAAATTCAATACATTTGGGATCTTAACGGCAATGTGTTGTAAGATTTATCCATCATATTATACAACAGAAAGGTGCAATATTCCAAAGATATCAATTTTAATGAAAAGTTTCGAATAGGAAAGGCATTAGATACGTCTTACATACTAATTGCAATACCTAAAGGTGACATTAAGAGGCAAATCTAGTTAAACCATTCTCTTGTGCAAAAATCTAAAAATTACCCTCCATCCTCTGTGATGTCGAAGTCCATAAAGTCCGGTTATCCCTCTAGAGCTGCATAATCAATGTACTGTCTTTATAAGACCCCTTGCTCAAGGTATCAAGCTCTGAGATAGCTTCATCAAAACTTGTTTAGCTAGGTGACAGGCCCTGGTGTACAAGTTTAACAGGTAACGTGGATTTCCAAAATTATCCAGAAACATCTCAACTAGAAAGTTAATACATAGGAAACAGCATGCATACCTTTCCGGAGAGTTCATAATTTCATAATAAAAGACAGAGAAGTTCAAGGCCAAACCCAACCGGATAGGATGTGTAGAATGCAACTCAGCTTCTGCTGTAGTAGTTGCTGACTGCAAGCAAATAACATACAGACTCATCAATTTAGGCATGATAATAAAATGGACATTTGGAAAGGGTTATAGCCATCTTAGATTTCATAGCACAAGGTAAACAACTTATTAAGCTCAGCAGAAGGAATCTAACGTATATAACTCCAGTAGCCGTCATAAAAGGATAACAATAATCTGAGAGAGTGAGAGGAAAACATTGTCAGACAGAATTCGCTTCATTGAAAAAAAATGGCAGCGTAAATATATATATTTTAAATTCCCGTTTATGACATTTGATTCATAAATATAGGCTTTAACTAAATCATGCCATGTGTTAAAATTGCAAACTCAACATTGGTAGTTAAAGCTAAAAAATTAGGAAGCAATTGGTGCGGAATCAATAATTTTAACATGGCCTGATTTCATTGAGGACCCTAACAAATTTCACCTAAGAAACTTCACCTTTGTCTTAACCCACAAACAGTTCTGGACCACCAATAGTTTATCCCAAGAATGGAGAGGGAGAAACGGATGGAAAAAATATGCAAGCAAGTAATGATTTTTTCCTAATTTTATTTCCCCTTCACTTCTCCAGATAGTATGAGGAAAATACAACAAACAACCAACAATTTATAAGTAAAAATGTTCATTTAACAACCAAACTACATGTCCATAAAACAACCAACATTTTATAAGTCAAAATTGCTCATTTAAGTCAATTTAAACATAAGTGAACCATAATAAGCTCGCCTGATATGCTTTGATGGACTGATCAGCAGCCTATTTCCTCTCATCACCCATCTTAAACTCCGCTAAATACCTATAATAATCCCCTTTCCTGCAACCAAACAACACCCCCCCCCCCCAAAAAAAAAAAAGAAAAACCTCCCACATAATCAATCAACCGAAAAAACCCAAAAAGATACTCACATTTTATAATAAAACACAGTAGACTCTCCTTCCGAACAAGAAGGAATGAGATGCTCATTGATCAAACTCATAACATCCTTACAAATATTGGACAACTCCAATTCCACTTTCTGCATATACCCTTTTATTTGCTTAGCATTTTGCTCATTCTGTTTGGTCTGTTCCTTTTGTTCAATCGAAGATAACATCCTCCACGATGCTCTTCGAGCACCGATTACGTTTTTGTACCCAACTGAGAGGTAGGTTTCGTTCCTCTACGCTAAGTTCCACATCAAGCTCCGCTAGTTTTTTCATAGCACCCACCATATCTGTAACAAAAAAAAAAATCCACAGTTTAAACTGTTGAAGTAAAAAAAAAAAAAAAAAAACAGAAAAGAACCAATATTAAGGCTTTGCTTGGTTAGATCGGACCGTCGTAGCGTTCCGCTTGTTCAGCGAGCTTGGCAATGTAAACGAGGCTTTCACGTTCTTTGGAGAAACCCATGGCCGAGTTAAAGACAACGTGAAGCGTGGAAGAAGATGTTTTTTTGGGCGGTGGTTGGAGAGCACCAGTCAGAGAGAACTAAAATAAGCAAAAAATGGAGGGAACGGGGACAAGACAGGACTGGCCGGCCTTGATTTGGAATGTCGATGACCCACGACAGATTTGGACCGTGGTATCCACTCCATTAAAGTAGACAAAGTTACGAGGTCGTTTCATGGAGTTTGGAGCGTAATGATTTGATCCAGAAGTGTTATTTTTAGAAGGTTGAAGGAAAAAATGCAAATGAGGTGACAGGTCAGCATTTAAGTGAATTTAAGGGTTTTTTTTTTTCTCATCCAACTAAAAATTCTATTATACCAACAGAAGGGAAATTACAAGCTATAGAGCAAGTCTACTAACTGCCTAGCAAGTGACAACCCAATCTGCTGCTTTGTTTGCAGTCCTATGAATCCAATAAACTCTGAATTCATCGAATTTATTTTTTTTTGCCCACATATCCCTTATAACAGGCAGTGTCAGTTGGGAATGTAAATAATATATTAATATTTATAAATTATTTGAGTTTAATTTAAATAAAATTTGAATTAAATTTAATTATTATTTAGTAAAATTTGAGTTTGAATAATTTGATTTATTAATCAAATTGAATTTAAATATTTTTATATTTGATTTAAGTAATTTATGAGTTTAATCAAATTTTTATATTTTAATTGATAAAATATCTTAAACTCAAATACAAATAATTAATTTTTTATCTAATATAAAAATTAAACTTATTTTTATATATTAATCAATTTTAATCGAACAAATTCGAGTAGTTTAATTTTTATCTCAAATCAAATTCGAACTGAAAAATAAAATTTGACCGAATTCAAATAAAGTTTTGAGCTTTAAATTTAAAATTAAATTCAAATTCAAACTTAATACTATATCAATTCGAACTCAATTAATTATACTTTTATTTTTACATTATTGCTTTTATGCATTTTCTTATGCAGAATTTATGATTCAGTCTCCTCAATAATCTTCTTGAGCTGCATTTTCTCTATTAAATTATCAATTCCCTGATCCCTGACTTCTAAGGCTTCAGCCGCAAAGCTAGAATTAGCCAAAAACTTTCTATCAACCTCCACACTTCCTGCCCATCCTCAAAGTCTGGTGGCCCATAAACGCAAAACATTCCACCCTTCAATCCCTTATCCCATGCTTCATCTAAAGTATCTATCAATTTTTTACAGTTCTAGGTGAATTTAAGTTGGCTACTCTCCACTCGGCTGTACCTTCTAAAAATATATATTTGTTTAATTATTTCACCAAAGCCCAAATCTACCATTCAATGTCGTGAAATGAATCGTGCCCTCAGAACCCAAATTCTGCCGCTAAATAAAAGAACTGAGTTTGACTAATCCGAATTAACGTTTAGGACCACAAGTTTGTAGTCAAATTAAATATTTGATTGGTTGATTCGTTGTCCCTATAAAAAAAATTGCAAACTTTGAAGTAGATTGAAGAAATAGAACAGTTGTTATGGAGTTCTTTTAAGCATTATTCCTGCCTTTGCTATACGGTCCCAATTGGTGTCTTTGATCAAGCTAAATTAAATCATACCCCATTTTATTTTGGTAAGGAAATGGGATTTAATCAATAAGTGATGAGAGATGATTCATTTTCTTCATCTCATCTTGTAGTTTATCTTTACAATAAGCTTCAGGCACACTTGCACAGTGCATTTGCATAAAATTCGTGGCTACAAGCTAGCAGAAATAAATGAAGAGGATTCTTGTTGCTTAATGCTGTCTGCAACGTGAGCAACCACTCCAGCG